GCTCAACTCATGCGGTGCGGAATCGACATTCGCAGCAATCGGAAGGAAAAGACCTTCGAGCTCTTCCACAACGAAACTTACATCGGAAAGGCGATCGATGATGATGGAGTCTTCGTGCTGCAATTTTCGGCTCAGGGCACCACCGGCGACTCCCACCGCACACTGCTACTGAAAACAACTCCCACGGAGCCACCAACATGGTCACATCCCGACGAGATGGACCTCGAGCGACCAGCCTCCGACGGCCTTCTACGCTTGCGCACTGTCCCGACTGCCTCGACCTCCAACCCTGCAGAAACCGGACCTGCCACAATGGAAGAAGACAGCGGCACGTCGGGACCTGCAACTCAACCAACCGAGGAAAACAAGACAGCGGAGACACACTGGCCGGGCTGGAACACTTCCGAGCCCGCGCTCGGATCCTGGGGAGAAGTACTAACTCCAGAAGAAGCAGCCGCAAGTGGGTGGGGCGCAGCTCCAGCAGAGGAAGTTGGCGTAACAGCAGGAGAAGCAGTTGGAGAAGCAGAGACCGCTGAAGACACATGGGGCGCCAGAGGAGGATGGGACACCACGGCCGAAGCAGAACAAGGGCACGCGGAAGCAGCTGGTTTCCCTCCTGCGGAAGTTGCCGTCGTCGACCCATACTGGGCAACTCGCGGCACCTGCTGGGGAGGTCCACCTCTCCCAGATCAATACGCCCCTGACACACCCGAGCAAATGGCAGAAGAGTCTGAAGAAGAAGAAGCCTACGAATTTATGGGAGAACCAACAGAGTTACCCGAACCTACCGAGGAGCCGGAGCCGCCAGTACAAGGACCACAAGAAATTGAGGTCATCGGCGCTGAATACAGTTACTTCAAAATCCCCGTGAAGGGACTCCCAGTTCGGGAATGGCCCAACCAATGCCTGCTCGTTACCGGAGACCAAGTCGAAGCCGGCGACACCGACGACATCATCGACATTCCCCGCGTGCTTCTGGAGCGAAAAGCAATTCGCGCGCTCGCCGCCGACACCGACTCCGCCACCGACGCAGGACCTGAAGGGGAGGCAAACGACAAAGCAGCGCGACAAAAATATTATCAAAAGACAGTCGGTTACCGTGCGGACCCAGAAACATGGCACCAACGGCTCGGCCATCCCTCCCACGCCACGCTCAAAAACTCGCTCAAGGCCGGAGTCTTCGACAACGACGCGCTCCTCCTTCCTCGAAACGGTTCCCTCACCGCGGACTCACCTAACCCGCCATGCATCGTCTGCCCAACCGCGTCGCTCAATCACCTACCGTTCCCCGATTTGCCCCCAGGGTATGAACGCTACAAGCCGCTGGACAAGGTTTACAGCGACTTTATGGTGCTCAGCCAGGAGGGGCTCGACGGGGAGCAGTACACACTTACCTTCATCGACGCATCTACTCGCTACGTCTGGGCCGTCAACACCGACAGCAGGTCTCTGGCCTTCGAGTGCTTCATTGCGTGGATGAAGCGGGCTGAACGACAGTCCGGTCTCAAACTCAAAACTTGGCAGACGGACGGAGCCCTGGAGTTCTTCTCAGACGAGTTCAAGGAGCTCCTCAAGCAGAAGGGGATTGAGCACCTGGTGTCCCTGCCCTACGCTCACCAACAGCAAGGAGTAGCAGAACGGACAAACAGAAGCCTCGCCACGCGGATGAGGGCTCTGATGAAGCAGTCGGCCATCCCAACAAAATATTGGCCGTTTGCGATGAATCACGCTGTTCGGCTGCACAACTTGCTGTCCTCGTGAAGCCTCGAGAACAACAACTCTCCCTACCGGGCATGGACGGGCAGAAAAGCAGATACACGCCTGCTTCGGGTGTTTGGCTGCATGGTACAGTACAGACCCCACACTGCGAGAACCGGAAAATTTGCTGACCGGGCACGATGGGGCATCCACCTCGGGATCGAGAAGGAATTCAAGGCGTGGATCGTGCTGGACTACGCGACACACGAGGTGACGAAATCACGTGACTGCATCTTCTACGAGAAGCTGACTCTGCCCCTTTTTAAGGAGCACCAGGAAGCCGACAAACTTCCCGAGAGGCTCTTCGAGGGCCACCACAGCTTCGCCACGTCACACGACGAAGCTGACCTGGCCGAGGATGCAGACGCACCTGATGTCACCCCAATGGACTCCGCTCCGAGCATCCCCCTCACAAGCCAATTCGGGACTCCGATATTCGTACCTCTACACCAACCCGATCCTAACGATACAACTCGCGCGGCTCATGACTACAACAGTGAGGCGCGCCGATCACCTGATGCCGAGTTACCACAACCCAACATGTCGCAGGATACCCTCCGCCTCGGCAACGACAGCGATGACGTGGTCGAAGTTACCAGCTTCCACGACTATGACCGACTTCACTACGAAAAGACTGACGAAACCGGTCTCCGCGTTCTCGGCCTCGCCGTCGCTGTTCGCTGCACCTCGCCCAAGGAACCAACCACCGTCCGCCAAGCCCTATCTGGCCCCGACAGTGGAAAATGGAAAGCAGCCATGGCCGCCGAAATCGCATCGCTGAAGAAACGTGGCACCTGGAAGTTGGTCCCTCGGTCATCGGCAAAGGGGAGAAAAATTCTCAGCGGCAAATGGGTTTTTCGTATCAAAACTCTCGCAGACGGCTCGGTCGACAAGTACAAGGCGCGTTGGGTAGTGCGGGGATTTGAGCAAACACACCTGGTGGATTTCACTCTCACCTACGCTCCAGTCGGCCGCCACACCTCGGTACGCATTCTCATCTGCATCGCTGCCGTCAAACAGCGACCGCTCCGGCAAATCGACGTCGGCAGCGCCTTCCTCTACGCTCCCGTCGATGCCATCATTTTCGTCGAGCAGCCGCACGCATTCGAAGAAAATGATGGCGCCGTGTGCCTCCTCCAAAAATCCCTCTACGGAATCAAGCAGGCGCCTCGTCTATGGCAGCAGTACCTCCATTCCGTCCTCCTTGAGCTCGGCTTCACTCAGCTGCCGCACGACCTCGGAATGTACAGGCGGGAATCGCGCGGGAAATTCGTACTCCTCGTCGCCTACGTCGACGACCTTCTCTACACCGGCGACGACACGGAGCTGCTGGACCAGTTTGAGGCTGACATCAAAGAGAAACTGGAGGTGACAATCAACCACAACGTCACCCAGTTTCTCGGCCTCAATGTGACTCAGTCCGCCTCCATTCACCTCTCCGCCGCCAAGTACGCTGAAACACTCGCGAAGCGCTTCTCCATCGCACCAATCAACCTCACTACCCCCTATCGCACTCCTCCTCCTAACCACGAGCCAGACACCACACCGCTCTCTCCCGACAACCATCGTCTCTATCAGCAGCAGCTGGGATGTCTCCTGTTCGCCGCCGTCACCTTTTTTTTAGACCACACAGATTGTGTTGTTTCATGTGACAGTTGGATGATTCAAACGCTGGGCTATTGACTTCCCCCCCATGCTAGGCAGGGGATGCGGTAGCCTAGTGTATGGGTCAATTAACTATCACGCATTTATATTGCACATACCATTACGGAGCATATGCATCATATTTAAGCATTATCATTCAATGTTTGGGTCATTATATCCATCATTATGCATGTATTCCAACTTCATTCATGCACGACCACCTATTCATTATGACATACCGGTAAACAGCCACGCATTCACAGTAATCATCCATATACTAGGAGTTAGGGTAAAACTAGTCATGGCAAATTAAGCATTTAAAAGATTAGTAGCTAAGTTGCCATGACAAATACATGCCGGTAGAAGTTGGTCTACTATCGTACACAAGTTTTTTTTTTCGGATGATGAAAAAAAAAATGTACATAACGATTGTAATAGGTTGCTTCGCAACCCAAAAACAAACTAAGAACCTGCATAGGGATGTTGTCTATTTTTCCCAAAACAAGTATTGGGAAAATGCTCCATGCAATTCGCGTTGTGGGGGTCCCCGATGATATTACTGATGACTTTAGCAACTTTCTGTACTACTGTGGACTCACGTCATGCAACAATCAATTCCACCAATCGGGTATCTCACGGAACTTCCACGAACATGAATTCACGTGCCACGCTGGCATGACCCACTTGCGGACACGAGTTACCACCTCCTTCAGCGATCCACTACACCAATCAGCTGGTTCCATATCGGACTCTTCACGCTTACGACTCGGCAAACATCGAGGCTCAACACATCTCCCCTCCTGGCCTATAAATTGTTCCTCCTTTCCACACAATACCAACGATCCATCGACTCGCGAATGCACGTCTATTTGTCCCCGTCTGGACTCTGAAGTTCTGAACTCGTTGAAATCATCTTTCAGTCGCGAGATTCAGTCCACACACCGCCACACTTCCCATCAGTGTTACACATAGCCCATTCGTAAACGCTGTCCGGAGTCCCGACGGCCGTGCTCATTCCCTTTGACCGCGCCGCAGATCAGCGGAACCCGGAATCGACAGAATACTTCACAGAAATACCCAGCAAAGCAGGAACTAAACTTCACAGAAATACCCAGCAAAGCAGGAACTTGAGATTATGGCGCACAGGAGTCACGGCTGCAGGGTTTCGCCCACAACCTCGTGTTGCCTACTCCTAGTAGTGGCATCCTCAACGGTTTTCTGTAACCGTTCTGCATCCGCGACTTCTCTTCCCGAGTCGCTCTCCTCCTACTCCAATGTAGCGTTGCTGGATCCGCGCTACGAGCTTTACTGGACCATTAACAATAGCGATGCGACCATCCAAATGGCAGTGAGGGCCAAAACGACGGGATGGTTCGGTATAGGCATCTCCGAGATTGGCTCCATGGTGGGCTCAGGTACGAATCGATCCGTCTACAAGTGTGGAATTCCTGCTCGTTACATTGTGGGCTCACGTACGACTCCATAAGTATACTTCGTGACGGTCGGGTGGGTCTGGAGTGTGCTTCGTGCTCTTCCTGTCCATTGCAAGATTTGTTAGTCGTTTCCGACATGACTGCCGCGCTAGAGACGCATTCATCATGAGTCCGCCTAAGGAGTCGTATTGGACGACTCACCTATCCCACCTCACATTCCTTTTTCACTCTCGCTCACTCTGTTGGATGGCTTCCGCTCTCGCCCTCTCTGCACGCCTCATTCGTGTGCGACCAGATGCCCTCGTCGCATGGGTCGCACAGTCCGACGCCCGCGCGTATGCGACGGATCGCTTCATTTTCAACAAGACTACCGAAGGAATCGCACTTGACGACAAGCAGGACTGGCACGTGCTGGGCGGCAGCCAGACCACGAACCAATCCACGGGCGACACGTGGACTACCGTGCACGTGTGGCGCCAGCTGGACACGGGCGATTGCAACGACCGCCCGATTGTTCCTGGGAAGCTTCACAACATCATCTGGGCGATGGGCGCCACGACTGACGTCAGCTATCACAGCTCCGACCGCGGTTCTTCCGCCCTCGTGCTCGCGTCTGCTCCCGGCCCCTCCATCATCGCGCCCGCGCCTCCCCCCTCCCCCTCCGCGTCCGCCTCCGCGTCCGCTGCGTCTGATTCTCTTGAAGCGGTTGGGCGGTTGGCTGCGCAGCAGCAGGCAGGGAAGCAGCCGGCGCAGCAGGCGCAGCAGCAGCAGGAGAGCATGCTCAATTTCACGTTCACGAATTACCGTTTGCCAACGGACTTCACGACCTATCGCTGCAAGGTGCGCGGCGTTTCTGCAATGGTCCGTGCGTTCGCGCGCCTTTTCCAAGCACGCATTGCGCATATGTTCCCCAATCCGATGCTCCTCCCGAATGCCCCCGAATTTCCCAAAAGCTGCAAACGCCCCAGAAAGTCCCATGTGCCTCCTTTTGTTCTTGGGCATTTGGTTTCTCCTCAATCCGCGTGACACCGTTTCTAGGCCACATTAACTTGAGCGCACCCTCTGCATGCTCGCGCCCCTCTCTGCACCCATCTGCACCGATCCTCACCCATTTGCACCGATCTGCGCCCATCTATGACGCCCATAGGTGGTGGACGTTGCTCTCAAGACCAAGACTCATGCGGTTGAGTGGGGTGCCGTGCTCAACTCTACCGACATCTCAGCCGTCCATCATGCCATCATCTACGGCTGCAAACCGTAAGCGACACATACGCTCCCCTTCCCCTCCCCTCCCTGGGCAAAGAGCACGCCAATCTGCCGCCCGCCCGCCTGTCCGCCGCTCGCCCAGAGCTCCTTTTACAGCCAGCACGACACTTCTGTGAACTCCGCATAGAGAATTCACTTTCCCCCCTCCTTGCTCTCAAACACACCCTGTGCTGCACTACCACCCCCCCCCCCCCCCCCCCCCCCACACACACACTCCCCCACCTGTACAGCAAGGAGTACGGCAATCTCAAGGGCGCAGGGGCCACCTTTGACTGCCTGCACGACACGCCATGCGCCACCACTGTCGCCGTGTGGGCTGTGGGCGGCAGACCCTTCACCTTCCCGCCCAATGTCGGCTACCCCATCGGCCCCGGCTACTTCACCAAGTTCGTGCTGCAGGTGGGTGCAATGGGATGCAATGCGGTGCTGAACTCACTCCATTCCTGGAGCCTTCCTTCCCACCACCATTTCTAGTGCTAATCCTTCCAAGCTTCCTCCCCTCACACTCCTGCCCCACGCACAAACCCTTGTGGCCTTCTCTTTCCCTCCCTCTACCCCCACCCCGCCCCCTTAGGTGCATTTCACCAATCCCAAGGGCCGCGCAGATCTGATTGACAACTCGGGGATATACCTGAAACTCGCCCCATCTCTCCGTTCCATGGACGCGTCCATCATGCTCACGGGGCCTGTCTCATACGAGTACCTGATCAGAATCCCCCCCGCCATGCCCTCGTGGACGCAAGTCAGCACGTGCCCGGGCGAGTGCACTGCCAAGGTGTTCGGGAATGAGAGCGTGAAGATCATTGGGTCGTTCCTGCACCTGCACACGCTGGGGCGACAGGTGAGGGATGAATGAAGGGATTCCAAGGTGAGGTGGACAGGGCATGCCTTCCCGGACTCGAGCGAGCCCCTGCTCGAGCGAGTGCAGTGCCGCGGTGCTCAAGAACGAGAGCGTGAAGATCATTGGGTCCTTTCTGCACCTGCACACGCTGGGGCGACAGGTGAGGGATGAGTAGACTGCTACACATGCCCCCCTGTTGCACCCCCCTGTTGCCATGCTCCCCTGCTACACATGCCCCCCTGTTGCACCCCCCTGTTGCCATGCTCCCCTGCTACACATGCCCCCCTGTTGCACCCCCCTGTTGCCATGCTCCCCTGCTACACATGCCCCCCTGTTGCACATGCGCCCTGTTGCCCATGCCCCCATGCCGTATGTCCCCATGATCTGTACATGGATGTGACTAGAGGAGGTAGCAAGGTTGCAACGTTTGGGACGTCTGAAAAATCCATGTCCCCATGTCCGTATGCCCCAATATCCCCCTTTCCCCCATACCCCCATGCCCCCCTGCCCCCATGCTCCCCATGCGTCCATGAGCAGTTATACACGGATGTGTTCAGAAAAGGCAGCAAAGTCGCCACCATCAGCCGTCAGGACTACTAGTGAGTTCCCTTCATCACCCAACCATCGCTCTTGTTCATTTTACCCCTTTTACCCTTTTTTAACCCCGTTGTTCCTTCTTTCACTCTTCCCCTCCACCCCATACCCCTCACACCCCAAGCCATCGCAGCGACTTCATATCGCAGCAGACCATTCCCTCCGTGCCTGAGTTCGTTCTGCTCTCTGGAGACGAGCTGACTAGAGCCTTCCCTCCCCTCCCCTCTCGCTCCCTCCCTCCCTCCCTCCCTCCCTCCCTCCCTCCCTCCCTCCCTCCCCTCCCTCCCTCCCTCCCTCCCTCCCTCCCTCCCTCCCTCCCTCCCTCCCTCCCTCCCTCCCTCCCTCCCTCCCTCGCTCCCTCCCTTCCTCCCTCCCTCCCTCCCTCCCTCTTTCCTCTCTCCCCCACACCCCCCACACCCTAAATAGCGACTTTGCATCACAGCAGACAATCCCGTTCACGCCCGAGTTTGAGCTGCTGCCAGGGGATGAGCTGCGCACCTCCTGTGTCTGGGACTCCTCTGACCGCACCAACGTACGTGCCTCCCCCTCCCCCCCACACCACAACATGCATGCTTCCTACCCAACATTTGGGTCTGTGGGCGTTGGAATAGATTACCCTGTGTTGTCCCCTTGTTGGGACCAGGTGTACCAACATGCGGTTTGATTACCTTCCGATGTACGCACGTTTCTCAGCACTTCAATACCCTCCAACTTTACTTCATTCCGGTACCATCTGTGCCTGGGATTCCTCCCCCTACTTACCTCGCGTCTTACAGTGCCAGTTCCGCTCTATTGTTGACAACCCCCCCTTTACAATAAACTCTGTCCCTGTGCTGTTCCTCTCCACCCACTGCTGCATGCAGGTGACGGTGGGAGGGCCGTCAACGGAGGAGGAGATGTGCATTGACTACCTCATCTACTACCCTGCACGCCAGGGCCAAGGTAATTCCTTCTTCCCATGCACAGGGAGCAGCAGGGCCAAGGTAGTGCTATTTCTCCCCGTGCACTCTAGCAGGGGGGGGCTTTTTTCTCTTTGCCAGATGTATCCACGGAGGGCCAGATGTATCCACGGAGGGCCAGATGTGCATTGACTACATCGTTTACTACCCCGCATGCCAGGGCCGAGGTAATGCTTCTTCCCATTGGGTGATGCGTTTCAGTTGGAGACCCACCCTCCCACACGCCCATTGCTGCTGCCACAAGTTGGAGATGGACGAGATCGTTACCAGCACCTCACCTCACCCCCCCTATCCCTTCCCCACGTCCCCATCCTCTCTCCTCAATCCGTGCGCCACCAGAGAAGGACTCGTGCTACGACTTGTGTGCATCGTACGCATGGACCCCACCAGCCCCATGTTACGCTAGCAACCCACCCCCTTTCGTTTCCCCCAACACCCCCTTCCCCCCCCCCCCCCACCAGAGATGGACTCGTGCTCCGACTTGTGTGCATCGTACGAGAACGACACGCTTGGCATGGACCCCACCAGCCCTACTGCTTACACTCCCCTCGCCCCCTGCCCCCACCTCCTTCCCCTTCTTTCACTTCACTCCCACCAGAGATGGACGCATGCTACGACTTCTGTGCGTCGTACGACAATGAAACACTCGGGTTGAACCCCAACAGCCCTACGCTCTCCAAGTTCTACGTGTGTGGGCCCAACTTCATCCCCACATACCAGCCCTGCAAGATCACATTTGGCTCCAACACGCCCAAGAAAGTCGTCAACGGCTGCCCTGCCGAGTAAGTCGAGACACGACCGCACTGCACCGCACCACACCCCTACCCTGTTGCGCCACACTCACTCTTCATCCCCACGTACCAGCCCTGCAAGATCACATTCGGCGCCAACACGCCCAAGAAAGTCGTCAACAGCTGCCCTGTAGAGTGAGTTGAGACTCGACCGCACTGTACCGTTCCACAGCACAGCCCTGCGCTGGCACTCACACTTCATCCCCACCTACCGGCGCTGCAAGATCACATTCAGCCCCAACACGCCCAGAAAGTCATGAATCCTGATGAGTAGATTGAGACTGGACCGCACTGCACCAATCCACACCACACGCCTACCCTGCCACACCATCTCAACACATGCTCACACTGCATCCCCTCCTACCACCCCTGCAAGATCACATTCCTCTCGCATTTCTCACAGCCCTCTCACATTCCTCTCACATTCCTCTCACATTCCTCTCACATTCCTCTCACATTCCTCACAGCCCTCTCACACCTCCGTCCTTCCCTCTGTCTTCCCCCACCATTCCCCTTCTCCCTCCCTTCCCCCACTTCTCCCCTTCCCCCTCCCACACCCCTCCTCCCCTGCATCCACCCAGACATCCCCTGCATCCACCCAGACATCCCCTGCATCCACCCAGACATCCCCTGCATCCACCCAGACATCCCCTGCATCCACCCAGACATCCCCTGCATCCACCCAGACATCCCCTGCATTCACCTAGACATCCCCTGCATCCACCCAGACATCCCCTGCATCCACCCAGACATCCCCTGCATCCACCCAGACATCCCCTGCATCCACCCAGACATCCCCCCACAGAAACTCCTTCTGACACCGTCCCTGCACCACTGCAACCCTAAACCCTGCTCAATCTTGAGACGGCTCATGACGTATCCCCATCCACCACCCCTCCCCTGCAACCCTTGGCAGGAACCATGCATCACTGGCAGATATCCCCTCGGACACCATCTCTGCACCGCTCTCTGCCACCGCCCCACCTGCACCCGCTGCTCAGTCTTGAGACGTCTCAAAGCTTGTCCCCTCCCTCACCCCTCCTCCCCTTGCATCCCATTGCAGGAACCATGCATCACTGGAAGATATCCCCTCGGACACTATCTCCGCACCGCTCTCTGCCACCGCCCCACCTGCACCCACTGCTGCCCTCCCTCCTCCAACCGCCACTGCTGCTGCATCACCCCCGAGCAATAGCAGTGGCAAGGCAGCAGCACAGGCAGCATCAGTTCACAGTGGCAGTATGAGTGCAGTGATGGCTGTGGCTCTGTTCTGCGCCGTCCTTGCCCTGGTGCTCTAAGTGTACACCCGCTCATCCCCATCCACCGCCAGCTCATCCCCACCCACTGCCAGTGATGGCTGTGGCTTGGCTCTGCGCTGTCCTTGCCCCTGGTACTCTAAGCATATCACCCATTCACTGCCGACGCTGCCGACATAGTTACAGTAGTAAGTAAGGTATCAATGCGTAGCTTATTGCTTATTGCCGTGGTTGTAGCTGTGCTGTGCCCGTTTGTGTCGATTTGCTTATAAAGCTATGTTGCAATGTCATGCTTATTTCCATAAAAATTATACACCACTGTGTCACAGATCAGCTATTGGTACCGTATGATAGAATATAAGAAAGAGTGATGCTCTCTGAACCAATATGGAATACATGGTACACTGATACGCAGATTCGTTCGTATAAAAATGACATGCACACTCACTCTTCATTGCATCATCCTCTTTGGTAGTTGGCATAGAATGCAGCTTCTAGGGGCGATACACTCTTCTTCACTGTACCAAGCGCTTTATCGAAATGTCGCATGCTCACACACGCTGCGGAAATATCCTCCTGAAAACAGGGCAAGAATTTGGATGAGGCAGAGTGTGTATACCGAATGAACACTGAACACAAGTACACTAAATGTAAGCACTGTAACATTTTAGCACTGAGCACATACGCACAGAACATATAAGTAAGCATCCCCAGCCCTTGCCAGCTCATTCCCAACCCCGCCAGCTCATCCCCACCCACTGCCAGCTCATCCCCACCCACTGCCAGCTCATCCCCATTCACCACCAACTCACCTCCAGCGCTGCCAGCTTGGCCTCTCTGCAGATTGCGGTGATGTCAGCGCCCGTGTACCCCTCGCTTCTTGCCGCCAGCTGGCAGCTGAGCTGGCAGGAGTCCACGTCAGCATGCAGCGGCGTGCCGCGCAGGCAGAGCGCAAATATCTTCTCTCGGGCGGCAAGGTCGGGCGGCGGGACAAAAAGGAGGCGGTCGAAGCGGCCGGGCCTCAGGAGGGCTCGGTCTAAGAGGTCTGGACGATTGGTTGCTGCAATCACCGTGACTTGAGTGGATGGGGTGAGGGCTGGGAGGGAGGGTGTGGGGTGTGTGGAGGTTGGAGGGGCAGGGAAAGTGTATCACAAGAGAGTGCTGAATGTAAGGACGTTAGGAGGGCTCGATCTAAGTGGTCTGGCCGGTTGGTTTCTGTGATGACTGTTACTTGGGTGGAGGGGGTGACGGCTGGCAGGGAGGGTGTGGGGTGTGTGGAGGGACGGGGAAAGAGAGGCACAAGAAGCGGATGAATGGAAGTGCCTCACGAAAGCTCGATTTAAGAGGTGTGGCCGGTTGGTTGCTTTTTTTGAGGCGCCTCAAAAAGGGGGATGAATGGAAGTGCCTCAGGAGAGCTCGATCCAAGAGGTGTGGCCGGTTGGTTGCTGCGATGACTGTCACCTGCGTGGATGGGGTTAGGGCTGAGAGGGAGGGAATGGGGTGCGGAGGGGAAAAGCGCGAAAGATGGGTCGAATGGACGAGTCTCAGTAGGGCGCGGTCTGTGATAAGTCGATTTTTGAGTCGACTCAAAAATCGACTTCTGAATGGACGGGTCTCGGTAGGGCGCGGTCAAAGAGGGGGGTGGATGAGAGTGTGTGAAGAGGGCGCGGTCTCAAGAGATCCCTCCCGGTATATCAACTCAGGCACTTTGTTGCAGGGTGATTTTGAGAATTCTCAAAAACACCCTGCGGTCTCAAGAGATCCCTCCCGGTATATCAACTCAGGCACTTTGTTGCAGGGTGATTTTGAGAATTCTCAAAAACACCCTGCGGTCTCAAGAGATCCCTCCCGGTATATCAACTCAGGCACTTTGTTGCAGGGTAGGGTGATTTTGAGAATTCTCAAAAACACCCTGCGGTCTCAAGAGATCCCTCCCGGTATATCAACTCAGGCACTTTGTTGCAGGGTGATTTTGAGAATTCTCAAAAACACCCTGCGGTCTCAAGAGATCCCTCCCGGTATATCAACTCAGGCACTTTGTTGCAGGGTGATTTTGAGAATTCTCAAAAACACCCTGCGGTCTCAAGAGATCCCTCCCGGTATATCAACTCAGGCACTTTGTTGCAGGGTGATTTTGAGAATTCTCAAAAACACCCTGCGGTCTCAAGAGATCCCTCCCGGTATATCAACTCAGGCACTTTGTTGCAGGGTGATTTTGAGAATTCTCAAAAACACCCTGCGGTCTCAAGAGATCCCTCCCGGTATATCAACTCAGGCACTTTGTTGCAGGGTGATTTTGAGAATTCTCAAAAACACCCTGCGGTCTCAAGAGATCCCTCCCGGTATATCAACTCAGGCACTTTGTTGCAGGGTGATTTTGAGAATTCTCAAAAACACCCTGCGGTCTCAAGAGATCCCTCCCGGTATATCAACTCAGGCACTTTGTTGCAGGGTGATTTTGAGAATTCTCAAAAACACCCTGCGGTCTCAAGAGATCCCTCCCGGTATATCAACTCAGGCACTTTGTTGCAGGGTGATTTTGAGAATTCTCAAAAACACCCTGCGGTCTCAAGAGATCCCTCCCGGCTATATCAACTCAGGCACTTTGTTGCAGGGTGATTTTGAGAATTCTCAAAAACACCCTGCGGTCTCAAGAGATCCCTCCCGGTATATCAACTCAGGCACTTTGTTGCAGGGTGATTTTGAGAATTCTCAAAAACACCCTGCGGTCTCAAGAGATCCCTCCCGGTATATCAACTCAGGCACTTTGTTGCAGGGTGATTTTGAGAATTCTCAAAAACACCCTGCGGTCTCAAGAGATCCCTCCCGGTATATCAACTCAGGCACTTTGTTGCAGGGTGATTTTGAGAATTCTCAAAAACACCCTGCGGTCTCAAGAGATCCCTCCCGGTATATCAACTCAGGCACTTTGTTGCAGGGTGATTTTGAGAATTCTCAAAAACACCCTGCGGTCTCAAGAGATCCCTCCCGGTATATCAACTCAGGCACTTTGTTGCAGGGTGATTTTGAGAATTCTCAAAAACACCCTGCGGTCTCAAGAGATCCCTCCCGGTATATCAACTCAGGCACTTTGTTGCAGGGTGATTTTGAGAATTCTCAAAAACACCCTGCGGTCTCAAGAGATCCCTCCCGGTATATCAACTCAGGCACGCACCGTCCATCTCCAGCAGCAGCCGAGTCATCACTCTGTCCCCCATGCCACACCTCCCGACGCTCCTTCCCCGGCCATTTTGCTGTGGATAACTCTCAAAGCCACTCCAATGAAAAGGAATCAACTCAGGCACGCACCGTCCATCTCCAGCAGCAGCTGAGTCATCACTCTGTCCCCCACGCCTCCCGATGGCCCTCCCACATGCTGGCAGCGTTGAGAGTAATAACTGAACGATTATGACCCACGCACAGCCACTCACCATCCATCTCCAGCAGCAGCTGAGTCATCACTCTGTCCCCAACACCTCCCGATGCTCCTCCTCCTGCTTTGCTGCGTGCCACTGCCAGCCCATCTATCTCATCAAAGAACACGATCGCCGGAGCTGCTGCCTTGGCTCGGGAGAACAAGGTTCGGACAGCTCGTTCGGACTCGCCCACCCACTTGGATAACAGCTCGGGACCCTGTGGGAAATAAGAGGGGGGGAAGGACTAGTTCTGACGAGCCTCACCTCATAAAAATGGGGGAGAAGGACTGCTTCATCAAGCTCTGCAATGAGGACTTTTGAGGCGCCTCAAAAATGAGGAGCCTCACCTCATACATGCTTCATCAAGCTCTGCAATGAGGAGAGGATTTGTGGCTGAAACGGGGAGAAGAAGAAAAGAGTAGGGGGATGAGGTGGAAAGTGCTGATCGTCATCTAGCGGCTTGGGCTCAAGAGAACAAGGCTTCGGTTACTTTTGTTTTGTACACCCACGTTGACTCACGTGGACCCTGATTGACTCACGTGGACCCTGGTTGACTCACGTGGACCCTGGTTGACTCACGTGGACCCTGGTTGACTCACGTGGACCCTGGTTGACTCACGTGGACCCTGGTTGACTCACGTGGACCCTGGTTGACTCACGTGGACCCTGGTTGACTCACGTGGACCCTGGTTGACTCACCTTGACTGCAAGAAAGTTGAGCCTTGCTTCTGTTGCTACTGCCCTGCACTCATGCCACATTCCACAGCATGCAAAGAGAGGGTGAACGAGAAGGGAAGCAAGGCTCTCCAATCCAGCACAAAAAACTGGGAATTGGAAACTCCAGCATCTGTCACAAGGGCCTGCACTAGCGTGCAACTTAAGTAACATACTTAGCTAAGAGCGTCTTGCTGCAGCCCGGGGGTCCGTAGAGCAGCAGCCCACGCGGAGGGGTGGCGCCAATGGCTCTCATCTCATGTGCACGCGTGTACGGCCACTCCACTGCCTCCTTCAACCGCTGCTTGATCCCTTCGAGTCCTCCGATATTGCTCCACGGCACAGTGGGTACCTCCACTGCCATCTGTTGGGTGGGGGTGTGTGTGGGGGGTCGGAAGAGACACATACAGCCATGTGCCCGGGGGTACGTCCGCTCCACTCCACTGCCTCCTTGAGCCTTCGCTTTATCCCCTTCGAGTCCCCCGATATCGCTCCACCGCACAGTGGGTACCTCCACTGCCATCTGTCGGGTGCGGAGGGGGCGCACACAGGAACAAAACATCCATGTCAGTGGGGTGTGGCGCCGATGGCTCTCATCTCATCTCGTGTGCGCCCGTGTACGGCCACTCCACCGCCTCCTTGAGGCGCTGCTTTATTCCCTCCAGCCCTCCGATGTCGGTCCACCGCACTGTTGGCACCTGCACTGATACCTGGTGGGTGGGTAGGTGGCGGGGCGCACACAGGAACAAAACATCCATGTCAGTGGGGTGTGGCGCCGATGGCTCTCATCTTGTGTGCGCGCGTGTACGGCCACTCCACTGCCTCCTTCAACCGCTGCTTGATCCCTTCAAGTCCGTTAATGTCAGCCCATCGCACTGTTGGCACCTGCACTGCTACCTGGTGGGTGGGTAGGCGGCGTGGAACACAAAGGAACAAAACGACCATGTCAGGAGGAGTGGCGCCAATGGCTCTCATCTGGTGTGCGCGTGTGTACGGCAATTCCACCGTCTCCTTCAACCGCTGCTTTATTCCCTCCAGCCCTCCAACGCAGTGCCAGTCAGGTTAACCAACGCACTGAGGGTGCCTCCACTGCTACCCCTAGTGAGAGGGGGAGTGGGGGACGAGAGGCACACAGGAGCAAAGCAGCCATGTAACAGGGGTGCATACCCGCAACAACCATATGGGAGGGGAGCAACCATCATTCAGCAGCACCGCCACTACCCACACCTCCCCATCTGCCCCACCTCCCCTCCCCTGCCCCATGCACCTCTCTCAGAGCGCTAGGTCGAATGCGTCTCCTAGTTCAAAGTCCTCCTCACACACTGCCAGCTGCACTCCACACAGGGGCCTTCCGCACCCCAAGCACTCCTAGCACTGGCAGCACCGGCAGCATTTTCAGTACCCCCACCCCCACCTCCCCTCCCCTGCCCCACGCACCTCTCTGAGGGCGCTGGGCCGGATGCGTCGCCGGGCCACTTCAAAGTCCTCCTCGCACACCGCCAGCTGCACCGCACACGAGCCTTCTGCACCGCTTGCAACCCCACTATCCGCAGAACAGCCCTGCTCCTTTTCCCTACCCTCCTCTCTACCCTCCTCCTGGTCCTCCTCCCCTTGTCTTGCCCCTCCCTGCCTCTCCTTCTCCCCCACGATTCGTCGCAGGGCTGCCACGGCAGCTTCAGAGCAGAGCGCGCTGATGTCAGCGCCCACGAATCCGTGCGTTGCTGAGCTGGCGATGACGTGGACGGCCTCGGGCGGCAGCGCGTGCGCCATGCAGGATAGTTGGGTGCTGAGGATTGCGAGGCGGTCGGAAGGAGTGGGGATGCCTGAAAGGAAGAACAGTACGATTCGGATGGAAGAACTGAAACAAAAAGCACAGAGATCATGCAACGTGGGGTGGAATCATTTGCAATGAAGCCCATTTTTGAGAATACTCAAAAGTTCAATCAGAGTAGCTTGGGGTGGAATCACCAAACATGAAGCCCATTTACACAGATTTGTTTGATTGGGGTAGACAACGGGCCATGCCACATTATACCTCCATGACTACTTTCGACCGCAATCTACACCTTCCTCACACCACTCACCGATCTCCACCTCGCGATCGAACCTCCCCGGTCGCCTGAGAGCGGGATCGATCGCATTCACTCGGTTGGTCGCCCCAATCACCACCACCCCTCTCCCCAACGCCACCGCCTTCCTTCCCTTCCCTCCCACCCCTCCATCCCCTTCTCCTCTTCCGCCCCCTCTTCCCTCGCCTTGTCCCCCCCCCCCATCTCCACCGCTTGAGGAGGCGCCATCAAGGATGGTGAGAAGAGCCGCCACCATGCGGTGAGAGAGGTCCTCTGCATCACGGGTTCTCGCTGGGGCTATGGCGTCTAGCTCGTCTATGAACACCTGGGTGCAGTGCGGTGAAGAGGGGTGAGAAGGGGAGCATGGGAGAGGAGGCGCCATCAAGGATGGTGAGAAGGGCCGCCACCATGCGGTGAGATAGGTCCTCCGCATCTCGAGTCCTGGCAGGGGCTATGGCGTCTAGCTCGTCTATGAACACCTGGGTGCTGTGCGGTGACGAAGGGTGAGAAGGAGGGTAGAAGGGGTCAGGAAGGGTGAGGAGGGGTGTGGAGGGGAGTACGCACACCACACCACCCCATGCCGCACTGCACCACACTGCACCACTCACAATGGAAGGCGCAGCCTCCTGGGCGGCAGAAAACACCTCGTTAAGAGCCTCCTCGCTCTCCCCAAAGAACTCGCTCACGATTGCGGCACTGGCTGTGGCGTCCAGCCCGTCTATGGGCCCACCACTCCACACCACTCCACACCACTCCACACCACTCCACACCACTCCACACCACTCCACACCACGCCACACCAATCCACACCAACACACCACACAACTCACAATAGAAGGGGCTGCTTCCTGGGCGGCAGAGAACACCTCGTTAAGAGCCTCCTCGCTCTCCCCAAAGAACTCGCTCACAAGCTCCGGCCCATTAATGACAAACAACGCCGCCCCAGCCTCCGCCGCCACTGCCCGAGCCAGCGACGTCTTGCCAGTGCCGGGCGGCCCGTGCAATAATATCCCGCGTGGCGGCTTGATGCCGTACCTGTTGTGCAGGGAAAATATTCCAAAAGGAAGGAATAAGGGGGGAAGGCAGGGGTACGGTGGCTGTTTGAGCCAACAACGTCTTGCCCGTGCCGGGCGGCCCATGCAATAATATCCCCCAGGGGGGCTTGATGCCATACCTGGTGGTGTCGGGTGAGCGGTAACAGAGTGGGGGAGAGAATCGTGGGGGTGGGAGGGGAGAGGGGGCGGGGGGGAAAGGTGATGCAATGATATCCCACACGTGGTGTGGATGTAGGTTCGGGAATTTGGAGCTTCGGGGTAAAGCAACAAACAGAGCGTCACAATGGACCGAACAGAGCTCGGGGTAAATGACGCATCTCCATGCAATGCCACCGCTGCTGTGCAGCGTAGCACTTCCAGGAAAACACATCGGTAGCACTTCCCTTCGGATTTTGGATGTATACACATCCGTTCCCTGCCATGCCTGTGAGCTTTCAATACTCAGCTTATGCGTACCTGGGGAAGAGCTCCAGGCATCCCATACCTGTGGAAGAGGTCCGGGTACTCCATACCAGTGGAAGAGCTCTGGGCATCCCATACCTGTGGAAGAGGTCCGGGTACTCCATACCAGTGGAAGAGCTCTGGGCATCCCATACCTGTGGAAGAGGTCCGGGTGACGGAGGGGCAGCAGCACAGCCTCCTTGAGTGCCTTCTTCTGTTCCTCCAACCCTCCCACCGACCCCAACGTGATTCCCCTCAAGTCCCCCGCCACCCGCCTTGCCACCGCCGCTGCCCCTCCCCCCCTCCCTTCCTCCCCATCCTCATCCTTTTCCGTCTTCTCCCCTTCCTTCTCTTCTCCACTGCAGCTGCCACTCTCTCCTTCCCTCTCCCTCGCTCCAATAAGGGTGGCCGCAGGAGTGAGTAGGAACGGCGGCAGAGGGATTCTCGCTGCTGCTGCTGTTGCATCTGTTGCTGCACTTGCTGCTGTGCCCGCGCCTCTGTCCTGTGGTGACACTAAAGGGGGAGAGGATACAATGACAGTGGTCTGGGGACCCACTTGCAGTGGTCTACCTGGCTCTGCCGCTAATGCTACTGCTGCTGCTGCCCTTGCTGCTTGCTTTGCTGATTCTCCAGCTGTTCTTGCTGCTGTTTCCATTGCTGATGCTGTTTCTGCTGATGCTACAGTGCCATGGGAAACGACGAAACAGCAGTCCTGCCCGCACACAGGCACCACCACAATGTTCCCAGGCAGAAGCGTGCGGCCCAGCAGCCACCGGGCAGCAAAAACCTCCACAAGCCGAATGCCCTGAAGCTTAGTGCTCCTGCTGCTGCTGCTATTGGTCCCAGTGTTTCCTTCCGTCTGCCCGATAAGTGTTTTCACAGCTGCCCAACGAGCTCTCTCCATCTCCTCTTCACTGATAAAGGGAGCCTTTTTTGCGCTGCCCGGAGTCACAGCGCTACCTGGAGTCGACACATTTTTCACACTGCCCGGCGTTCTAGGCTCGAGGCGCCGTGCAATATTGGAGGGGGTACTGGGAGAAGGGGAAGGGGAAGGGGAGGGGGAAGGGGAGGGGGAGGGCGCTACAAAGGGGGAGGAGGTTGGGAAGGGGGAGGAAGAAGAGGCGGCGATGGGACGTTGGGAGGTGCGAGGGGGGGTACAGGGTACAGGAGAGGTGAGCGAGGTTGCTGCTGTTCCTGCTGCTGATCCTGGTGCTGCCTGTGTTGCTACTCCTGTTACTCCCTGTATGGGAGTTTTCTGCGATGCTCCTCCTGCTCCTGATTCCGTTCCTTCTCCCTCCCCTCCTGCTGCTCCTGACCTGTCCCCATCAGCACCAGCACTGCAATCTAGCGGCTCCAGCCACGTCAGCGCCAGCTGTCTGCATGGGATTGGCTGCACGACCGCCTGTTCACCATGCGCTTGTGGGGAACTTAGGCTCAGATTCTGTTGCCGTCCGGCCTTGAGAGTGAAGACATAAAGGCGCGTGCTTTCCTCCGGGCGGCCTAGGCTGTCCGCTAGCTGCCAAGAGAGGCGGCAGCAGGATTTGGGAATCTTCGGCGCCGGCCACACGGTGGCCAACGCGCAGTACAGCCCGGGTAATCGGGCGGCGATTGCCGGCCAATCAGGATGCTGCGTCCAATCAGGCGTTGCCAGCTGTAGAGCCTCCTGTGCCAACTGGAGCGGCGGGATTGGCTGCGCGGAATGGGAATCGCTGCACACCACCTGATTGGTGGATTAGGGAAAACGGTCGAAAGAGGAACAGAGGGAGGGAGACAGGGAGGGGGAAGGGGGAAAGGAGTTGGGGGAGGGGGAAGAAGGTGAGCTGGGAAAGGTTGGGAAAGGAAGAGACGGAGGGGCGGGAGGAAAAGATTCGGGTGGATGATTCAGGCGAACGTTCCAAAGCCGTGCATAAGCCCCAAACCCTGGACCCTGAATCTGAGACTCAATAGCCCCTCTGCCCTTGAGATAACCAGTACATAGCGGCTGAATGAATTGGATCCGCCGACGGCAAGTAGATGTTCTCGAAGGGCCTTACCGCGACCATGTCGCCCGCGGCCACGTCATCAGCCGTCATCGCTGCAGGGTGGAGCCATATCTGGGCGGCTGCTGAAGTGTCTCGGGCTGCCACGTCATCTATTGCGGAGATTTTCACGTCGAGTCTCTTTCCGCCAAACAAGTCGTCGAAGCACGCGGGCATTTGCGCATTCGACGAGAATTCGGCGCGGGACGCGGAAGGGGAGCTAGCAGCATTGCGGGAAGTTTGAGGGGACTGTGCTGGCGAGGGAGATTCAGTAGCCTTCTTGCTTTTCCCTTTCGACTTGCCTCCCATTTTCTCTCAAACTTCTGTTTCGTTACCGATGGCTAAGAAATGGGAAAGCTGCTACAGATTAGGGACGATAGGGCTCGTGGGCATGTATGGTATTTGTTTCGGGATAGTCGCCACGTTGTTTGAAGGCATATAAGAAACATACATATAATTACTACATTGAAGTGTACTTCGCGGACTACCGAATCTCCACAACCGGGTCGCAGATGGAAAGACCAGGCCAAACCACTTCTCCGAGGCTGACGTAAAAACCCAGTCGAGTTTGTAGGCCCTTCGGGGACCCAATCAGGTGCTTGGAAATTTGGCTTACGAATTTGCCAGGGGTTCAGAATAGTTTCTTTACTGACCGCACCTCAGGTGTAGTTGTGCTTGCTTGGTTTGGTTCGGTCAATTTGGGTTCCCAACTATGCCAATACCCACTGCTCGCATTGATGCTGATGAGATATTCCGGAGGTGCTACAGTGAACAAGGAAAAATTACCATGAAAAATGAATGAAAATAAATGAACAGCTACACCTTTGACTGTCTGGTGTGCTTCGTTTCCTTTTTTCACGGCCAGCGGCGACAGCTCGCTTGAGCACCCCGATGTGTCCTGGAGGTCATGAAGGGGAAGTTCCAAACCCAAACCTAGCCAGATGCCGAACCATTTTCTACGGTTCGACATGGGGCGCACCGCCAATTGACCACCGCCTAGCTCATGCCAAGCCTGGACCGAACGAAAGAAGAATCTGTCTGTCACGCACTTGCCCCCAGCTTCCCCCGCCACAGGGTAGGCGCGGAAACCAAACGCCCATCCCCCCCTCCCTCGCGCACTTCCTCCAACCCGGACTGTGGAAGAATCTATTCGGCCCCGATTTTGCTCCCGCAATTTCCGCTCCGTAGCAGTCTCTTATTCCGTTCGACCACAGCGGAGGTAGATGCGTTGGCGGCTCCTCAAGGCATGCTTTCATGGCCTTCTTATAGCGAACCATGTAACCAGGCCGGTAATCTGACACGAAAGTAGACCAAGCATGAAGTGCAGTCACCAGTTTCGATAGTCACGGTTCCCATAATTTGCGTAGCGCAGTCTAAGGTCTAGTGTTACTCTGGGCTTGAGCCCGCTAAGGCTCTACATACCCTCGTTTGTTTCTTCCTCTAACCCGCATTTCTTGCGCCACGTCAACCGTCCAATATGGTACTCGCGGCAACGAATGTCACCAGCAGCCCTGCTCCCCCGCCGCAGTTCCAGCCTCCCCCGCCTTCCCCGCCTTCCCCGCCTTCCCCGCCTTCCCCCGACAATGCGACGTCGCCCGCGACCATCGCATACGAATCCGTCATCTCTCTGCGACAGCTCAACATCGCAGTCGTCGCCGTGCTCATCCTGCTCGTCATCCTCGTTTTAGTCCTCTCCTTTGTAAAGGCGCGTGCCACGTGGCAGCACCAGAGAGCCGCCACGCAAGATCCCGACCCGCAGGCCCTGCAGCCAGTGGGGAACCGCGGGTTGCTCATGGACGGCCGGAATATGCGCTCCGGCGTGCCCGACCACATTATTAAGACGCTCGGAAAGTCTTTTACGTACGTCGAGCCGGGAGATGACCTTGAAGCTGGCGGGACCAGCGCCCTTGGCGGAGATGGGGGAGGGGGAGCTGGAGAACGTGGGGTGGGCGGAGGCGGAGTGGGGGAAGGCGGAGCTCTGGGGGCGAGCGGGAGAAGCAGCAGCCGAAGGTCGGCTGCGGCGGAAGCGACGGGCGGAGAGAGTGAGGGGAACGGCGCGGGGGGGAGAGCGGGGCGGGAGGAGGGGGACGACGAGAAGGAGTGCATTGTGTGTTTGGGGGAGTACAAGACTGGTGACGTCATCAGACAGCTTCACGCATGCAATCACCAATTCCACCAGGTGTGTCTGTGTGAAAGAGAAGGAGAGAAAAGAGAGGGTGTGAGGGAGAAAGAAAGATAGCGCGACAGCGGAGAGAGGCTGCAAGAGAGAGGGAGGGAGAGAGGGAAAGGAAGGAAGGGAGGGGATGGGGAGTTTGGGGGGAGGAGGGAGAGACAGGGGGAGGGAGAAAGAACAGAGAGGAGAGAGCGTGGTGAGTTCTTGCAATATTTTCTCTTCAGGATCTTGTGGATAGCAGGGATGCAGTAAGGCATGCGCAACAGAATTGCTCTCCACCCGCCCCCATCCTCAACCATAAGGCTGTTCCCAGCTCTCCTCCATCACTCTGCAATACCGTCAATATTCTCTGAACTTCACTCACCTGCTCCTCTCCCTCCCCTTCCCTCGTCCCCCCTCCTCCCCTCCTCCTCGTCCCCCCTCCTCTCCTCCTCTATCGCCTGCCCTCAGGACTGCATTGACGCATGGCTTAAAACCAACTCCTCCTGCCCTCTCTGCCGAACCTCCCTCATTCCGAGCCGCCTGCTGGGAAACAACCAAAGCAATCTCAGCGACATTCCAGAGCAGCAGGGGATGCATGGAAGCGTGGTACGTAATGGCCAGGGCGGTGTTTTGTCGGAGCCTGTGGGTATGACGCCGTTCGGTTCAGCAATGCCCCTTCTGCCTCCTGAGGGTCCTAGCCGCCTGGCTTATATCACCATTCCCCCTCCGCCGTCTGCCGCTGTTCAGTTGACCCAAGTGGGTGAAGCTGCGCCGGGTGCTCCGGCGTCGTATCAAGTGCGTGTTGCAGGGTCTATGTTGCCTACGTCATAACGATGTGTGTTGATAGTAGCTAGCTCCACTTGTTTAGCAAGCTAGCAACCAATGTGTTCATATGTATTGAATGGTGTATTCCTCAATTCGCTAAATTCTTCTAGTAAGGTGTTTCGCCAATGTCTTGGATTGCTTCACGATCAACCACGAAAACCTCACGCTAGCACCTCGCACGGCGCCAGTTGCGGCAGTTTGCGAATTCGTTTGAACATTTGCGCGCCTCGCAATGGGCTAAAGAAATTTACAACCACCGTGTTGCATTTCGCTAGGCCCATCCAACCTCCAATACCTTCTCCACTACATGGACCGACCCACCCTCCAACCAAAACATCTCTTCACTTCATCTACCCTCTCTGTGGGTGACCCGTCGCCTCGCTCATGTTGCTTCTCTTCCGCACATACCCTCAAAGCTGCATGATTAGTAAGAAGAAAACCCATTCTTCGCTCAGGGAGCGATAACAATTTTAGCATTCTCTCTGCCTACAGGAGCTGGATGATTTCCGACTACGAGGCCATAGCGGAGGAAGCCGAAATGCACGTATATTTTGACCCATGCCCCGTCAGCTTCTCCTACTAGGAGCGCCTCTGGTAGAACTTCCTTTACTCCATTGCTACCCGAGCGCGTGCCGTAGTACGTCAAGATCGTTAAGAGCTAGGACGCGGAACGGATTTCACCTTAATTTATCCCGGATATATACGTGGTGTTTGTTCGCACTGTTGGCCCTGCTGCCCGTCGCGTGTTGCGCTGCCACTCTGCCACCACATGTTCGTGATCGGATTCGCGCGCGCCCGTATTTGATCCATCGAGCAACTTCAACCGGTGCTCTAGAACCGCTCCAGGACGCGCGACCATCGCGTGCGCCTGTTTCGCTGCCTGCGTCAGTCGCGACGCGGGCACTGACTAAAGATCGTGAGACGGTTTCGAATAGCATCGCCTTCGCCAGCGACGGTTACAGCATCAGCAATAACAACGGCGTCGACGTCAGCAGCGGAGCCGATGACGGTAGCGTCAGCAGCGGAGCCGATGACGGTAGCGTCAGCAGCGGCAGTAGCGGCAGCAGCAGCAGCAGCAGCACCACCAGCAGTAGTGTTACCGGCAGTTACGATTACCCAAACAACAGCAGCGACGGTCAGCGCAACGACCAGCACAAGCCGCGGTACTACAACCCGTTGAACCGCCTCGTCCCCCGTTCCGCGCATCTCCCCGACGAGTGCGCCTTCGCGCTCCCCATACCGCTCCACCAATGCGCGCTCGGCTACAGCCAGGCCGCCCGGGGCGGGTACGGACGGGCGGAGTACGTTGTCTCGTCCGACGACGACAGCCTGACGCAGGGTACGCTGCGGTGGGGTTTAGTGCGGTACCGAGCGGTTGGAGTATACGTGCGGTTTAGCCGGAACATGGAGATCAGGTTGAGGGGGCCGCTGCGGTTGGGGTCGCACGTGACATTGGATGGGCGCGGCGCGAGAGTGCGAGTCGCTGGCGGCGCGGTGGTTATTCGAGGGTCCAGGAGTATTATCATCCACAACTTGCAACGTGAGTTGCTGCTGCTCCTATTCTCTTCAACTATCTCTTCCCCCGTTTGGGCTGCATCCGCCAATCGCCGAATCTTTTTAAAGCTTCTCTTTTGTGGCCTTTTCCTCTGCTGTCAAGTGAAGCTGAACAGTGCTAAGCTGCTTTACATTACTCGCCTTGCACACTCCCCCACTTGCACTATACATCCAGCTGCCTTGGCTCCCCACAATATCCCTTTCGCCTTTCTGCGCACGCCCCTCACTCCCCCTCCCCCCCACCTCTCTCTTTCCCCCTCTTTTCCCCTATTTATACCTCTTACCTCTCTCCCTTTCCCGCCCTCCCCTCCTCACCTGTTGCCCAAAATCATCAGTTGCTGACGTTCCTCGGTCGCTGTCAGCACCTCAGAATCTGATCTCCATCCGAGCGTCTCACGACATCTGGATCGACCACTGCACACTCCAATCTTCGCCACGTGCCCTCATCTCCGTCTCCCGCTTCTCCACTAATATCACCATCTCCAATGGTCACCTCCGTAACGGCGGCGACGCAATGATTACCGTCACACCCCTCCTCCCGCCTCCCCTTCCCCCTCCGACCTACCGTCGTCCTGTCTACGTCACAGTTTTCCGGAACTTTTTCGACGGGCCGGGCAGCCCGGATGTTTTATGTGCGGGTGCG